TCCCCTCTGGTTGCCGGATCCTCATGCTTTAAAGACCTTCTAAGCTACCGACTTCTCGAAGAACCCTCGCTAATATTTTCAACATACATGAGACAAAACAGTCCACGAGAGCCTGAAAAATGACCGGCATCATCATTAGACTAAAGGGAAATCGGCCACGACGTTTTAGATGGCTGTCTGATGAGCACTGCTAAAAGTTGCGCTGAAGCATGCCTAACTCACCTTAAACATTCCCTCCGCCTCGCCTCGGCCGACATGCCAGGCCTCCTGCAGGTTTCGGTATTCTGTCATGGAGATGTAGCCGGTACCTTCAATATCCACAGCCTTGAAGAACGTCCAGCCAAACTGATCGATCTGATGTCTGAAATCACCATTGATCATGTCGCGCATGTTGTGTATGAACTGTTTTTCTGTCAGCTCATTGAAATGGTTGGCTACAACGGGATGGAATTAGAGAAAAACGGGGTTCGTTTCAAGTCGTAGCATGTAGGCTAGCATATGTTCCACTGCCAACACTCATGAAATATTTAAATCCTGTTTTTATGTTTACTTTTAAATAATATATATATCAGGTAAGTTGCGCCACAGTGTCATAAAGCATACTGCCAAGTCTATTCATACACGGACACATGCTGGCGTTTGGTTAGACAGCGATTTAGTCACCAGTTTACTACTTAAATTGCGCATTTTAGCAGGAATTTGAGGTAAATTAAATTATTGGGCAGTTCACCGTTTTGCTAAATTCTGTGCTCCGAACTGTGGACGTTGGGAGTGATTGTTGATTTGTGCATAGTCTCAAACATAACTGCGGCTTACAACACAGTTTTCTGTTTAAGAAAGGTTTTGTTTTCTAGTCGTGCCCTATGAAGACTTGTACTTGATTCGGCCATGATCATGCCTGATTAGTCGGCCTCACGGACGGTAGCTCTCCACGCGTGACGATTGGCGGCAAAGTATCTGGAAAGCTGCACTCATTCTCTTCTCCAACAACGGAGTCCGAAAATCGACGATCCAAGAACAGCTTCCATGTTTTGACAAACGGTGTCGAGATTTCTTCGACATCTCCAGAGGACTGCAGCGGCGGATCAAGGGCAGCCTCTACTCCTTTACTTGCTCCTATGGAGCAGGTTATATTGGTCGCACGAGTCG